TCCTCTGGAGAATTAGGATGCGTAGGCATTCTGGAGAGAGTTCCTGCGGTCCATTGGGTCATCTCAGGGTCTTAGTTCAGCTTTTCATCCGAGCATAAATGGGGCAGCAGAGAGGCTGAACGCCATGGTACAGCAGTACCTGAAGTGCTACGTGAACTATCAGCAGTCCAATTGGGCAGACCTTTTATCTTTTGCTGAGGTCATGTACAATAATGCTGTTCACAGTAGTACATGACTCTTGCGATTCAAAATAGTGAGCGGTAAGATGAACATGAGCTTCATTGCTTCTGGAATCTTAGGCGTTAGTTTTTTTCCAGGTATTGTAGCATCTTTTCTTCTGGGTATTGTCTATTGTCATCATATAGTTTCCTATAAAAGTCCTGAATGGTATTTTTTCCTCAATTTGATAACATAAGGTTCCATTTTTGTCTTGTAATTTATTTATCCATTTTCTTTCTTTCTTTCTTTCTTCTTCTTCAGTTTGTAGGCTAGCCCTGGTTTGTTTTCATTCTCGAATTTTTTTTATTCATTCTCTTTATATGTTGCACCAGATCTTCTTTTTCAAGGACGTTCAATTTGTGTTTAATTAAATCCATTCGCTGTTTTAAATTTATTTTTTGTGGTTCCTTTTGTAACTGTACCTTGAGTATTCTATATTCTTCTTCTAAAGTTTTTTGTTGTTGCTTCTTCCTTTTATTTTTCTTTGCTGTATATGATATGGCAACTCCTCTCATATATGCTTTCACTGTGTCCCACAGCTTTTGTAGTGACAATATCTTCTTTCCTATTTTCTTTAAATAGAATCCCATTGGTTTTTCCAACATCAATCTAAATTCTCTATCTTTTAATATCAATCGATTTAGAGTCCATCTTGTACTTTTCTTTTGTCCTTTCCAGCTGATTCTCATTGGATTATGATCTGCCCATAAATTTGTGTCTATTTCTATCTCGTATACATTACTATTTAATTCCATCAACATCCATGCCATATCAATTCTCAACCAGGATTGGTGTCTGTTAGAGTAAAATGTGTATTGGTTTTTTCCCTGGTTCCTCTCTCTCTCCATACATCTTGTATGTTCAACTCTAGTATTCTTTTTGTACATTTCCTTGTTCTATTGCTTTCATAGTTCAATTTTTTTAATCTATTATTGTGTTGAAGTCTCCTAGAAGACAAAGGATGTCACACTCCATATCACGTATTGTGTAGTGTTTTATAAAATTGTTCTTGTCCACTATTTGATTTATAATGTCTTACATACAGTTAAAGGGGATAATAATAGTAATAATAATAGTAATAGTAATAATAGTAGTGATGATGATGATGATGATGATAATTCAAAAGAGGTCACTACTAGCTAGGCAGTCCTTAGCCTTAATCCATATTATTTATAATCCACTACCGGTCAACCAGGTTGTAAGATATCCAGAAACAAAGAGAGAAAACCAAAGCAAAGCTAATGTCACAGAGAAGAGTTAATCCTCACTTCCACAATCCTTCAGTTATATATCCTTTTTGCCCAATAGTATCCTTGCACCTTGCTTCACTTTTCAAAGTATTCTGTCATTGCCAGTGGTAAAAGCCATTTTTGTTTTCCCTCTGTATATTTTTTATAACCACTTTCCAGGAAAGAGTATTTCCAAAGCTAGTTCTGTCCAGGTTCTTCTTTTGTAAATTCCAGTAAACTCCAGTCCAGTTCAACCTCTCCGTTTTTTCTTTTTAACAACCACAGCTCTCCCTTTGCTCCTTCCTTATTGTTATGGATCTGTAGCTGCTCCGTGTTTCTCTTGCCGCTTCAACAATGGGGGAGGGAACAAGAATCTCTCCCCTCCTTCTCACTGGAGTTTCCTTTTCTTCTTAGATCAACATATGGAGATTCACTCACTTTGGTGGGAATTGGAAAGAAACTTCAAGTTCAATCCACTACTCTCTTCCGCTTTCTCACTGCTTCCTCTGACAGCCTGTCAGTGCTTCGGTTTGGCCATTAACGTCCGTCTTCTTCTTTGTCTTCTTTCAGGAAGGATTACTCCCGATCAGCAAAACAGACCGTGGCCTGTTTGCAATCAAAAGGACGCCCTTCCTCTCCCATTGCCCCTCCAAGGCAACTTTGGCCCCCCAAAAGACAGAAATCAACTGTGCTCTATGGAGCGCCCACTCGTACACCTGTTTGCGCTGACAGCTGGCCCCATCTCCTATAGCTGCCCTCTTTTTGAGGTGATTTTAATTGCTATGCTTAAATTATTTGGTTTGTTAACCAATTGCTAAATATTTCTCTAATATTTTTACTTTACTTATTGCTTTAATATTACTTCAAACTATTTTTTAAATTAAAAAGCTGTTTGTTTATTTTCTGTATATCCTGTTGAAGAAAAACCAGATGTTTAAAACAAATAATCGCAGAGGTTTTATTATTATGTAAAACAGAGAGAAAATTCATGTAAACAGAATAAAAGGCATTTAAAGTTTATTCCAGAAACCAATTAGCTAATATTAAATATGCCCACCTTGTTCTGCAGTGTCCTCTTCAGTTTTTGCTCCAAGTATATTAGCAGCAATATTCACCATATTTAAAATGGCATCTAGAAAAGTATCAGACACATATTCCATCATTTATTTTTAAAGTTGGAAATCACTTTTACTGAAATTTGTTCTGTTAGGTATATAGTTTTTGAGCAGTAAATTATATCTATCTATATGAAGCTCACTTCTGCCAACCTAGCAGTTCGAAAGCATGTAAAAATACAAGTAGAAAAATAGGGACCACCTTTGGTGGGAAGGTAATAGTGTTCTGTGTGCCTTCGCCATTTAATCATGCCAACTACATGACCACGGAGACATCTTTAGACAGCGCTGACTCTTCAGCTTTGAAATGGAGATGAGTATCGCCCCCTAGAGTCAGGAACGACTAGCAGATATATGCAAGGGGAACCTTTACCTTTACGTTTTAAATGAAACTCAAAAATAATGAGTGTAGTCAAGAATTTAACATCATGTGAAACAATGTATCATTTTCTGAATAATTCACTACTATGGATTAGAATTATGAAAATGAAACATCTTCTACTGTTGGCTATGCTGAAATCCAGAGCGGGAACCATTAAAATTTGAAAGCTGGTTTGAAGTACTGCATTTTTGTTGCTGGTACAATCTAAATACACATTCTATAGTACTCGGAGAGGAAATTTTTATTTTAAAAAACTGCATATAGGAAGGGGAAGTTGAGAAGAGAAGAACAGGGGGAAGAAAGGAGGTAGGGAGGGGGAGAAGAGAGAGAGAAGAAAGTGATGAATAAAGTACAAATATGGAGTATGGAGAGCAGAAGAGCCAATAATTGGTTTTTGGGAGTTGTGGGTAAGATGAATTGATGTAAACATTTAATAATATAATATGATGTTGTTTATGTAATAGTATACATGCAATTATGTTATGAAAATGGAAAAATTAAAACTTTAATCAGAAAAAAAAGGAAATATTGATGATTTAAAAATGATCTGTCAGTTGTTATCTTCAATTAGCTAAATGAAGATTGGCTAATATATGCACCATATATATCCATAATATATGCCATATATATCCATAATATATGCCAACCTATAAAAAAAGTCAAAGAAATGATTGGTCCACTAACAGGTGAAGATGGCAGGGAGGTGACAAGTTACAGGGAAAAACTAGAACTGCTTAATTCATTCTTTGCATTTGTCTTTAAAAAAAGAGAAAATAGTTCAACCAAAGCACTACATTAAAACACAGAATAAGAATGCAAGTCAAAATAGACAAGAAAATAGTAAGAGAACACCTATCCACTCTAGACAAGTTCAAATCGCCAGGACTAGATGGATTATATTCCACAATTCTGAGGAAGCTGGCAGATGTACTCTTGGAACAAAATCTTTGAAAGCTCCTGAAGCACCAGGGAACTGCCAGTTGGATGTGATTTCAATCAAAAAAATGAGAAAAAATATGGATTCAGGAAACTATAGACCAATCAGCCTGACATTAATACCTGAGAAAAACCTGGAACAGATAATGAAGCAGCAGATTTGTGAGCACATAGAAACAAACAAAGCAATAACTAGAACCGAAATGGGTTTTTAAAAACAAATCATGCCATGCAACCCTTAATTGCTTTCTTTGACAAAGTGACTAAATTGGTAGATTAGGGAAATGCTATGATATTGACTTCAGTATAGCATTTGACAAAGCAGACCACAACCTACTTCTTGGCAAGATAGAATAATATGGACTAGACAACATCACCACCAAATGAATTTCTAACTGGCTCACCAACCACATTCAACGTATAGTCCTCAATGGAACCAGATCTACATGGAGGGGAGCATACAATGGGGTACTCAAGACTCTGTCTTAGCCCAATACTCTTCAACATCTTTCTAAATGATTTAAACAAGGGATAGAAGGGAAACTCATAAAATTTGAAGATAACACCAAGCCGGGAGGTATTGCCAACACTTTAGAAGATAGAGTCCAGATCCAAAAGGATTAGACTCAGAATCAGATAGAATTCAGAAATAATTGGTAATAGTGGCCAGGAGCAAAGAAAACCAACCAATTAGCCTAACATCAATACCTGGAAAGATCCTGGAAAAAGTAATCAAGCAACAGATCTGCAAACACCTAGAAGCAAGCAAAGTTATAACCAGAAGCCAACATGGGTTTGTCAAAAACAGATTATGCCAATCAAAACTTACTTCATTTTGTGATAAAACTGGTAGATCAGAAAAATGTTGTGGAAACAATATACTTGGATTTCACTAAAGCATCTGACAAAGTAGACCATAACCTATTTCTTGGTAAACTAGAAAAATGTGGGCTATACAGCATTAGCACCAGATGGATTTGACTGGTTGATAAACTGCAATCAATGTATAGTCCTTAATGAACTACATCTACATGAGAAGTGGGGTATTCTCTCTGAGACCCAATACTGTTCAATATCTTCATAAACTATTTAGATGAGGGAATAGAAGGGGAACTCATCAAATTTGCAGATGACACCAAGCTGGTAGGAATAGCCAACATCCCAGAAGATAGGCTAAACATCCAGAAGCATCTCGACAGACTTGAACACTGGGTCCTATCTAACAAAATGAAATTCAATGGTCAGAGAAATAAAGTTTTATACTTATGCAAAAAAAACCCCAACCAAATGTACAGCTAGAGATTAGTTGAAATGTGGTTCAATAGCAGTAATTGCAAGAGGGATATTGGAGTCCTTGTGGGCAATCACTTAAATATGAGTCAACAGTTTACTGCAGCTGCTGAAAAAGTCAATGCTATCCTAGGCTGAAGTGTTGGTACTTCTTTATAAGATCACCACAATATTAAAAAAGAGATTGAGACTTTGAAAAGTATAAAGAGAAGAGAAACAAAGATGACTAGGGGGCTGGAGGCTAAAACATATGAAGAACAGTTGAAGAGGTGTGTGTGTGTATGTATGTAATTGAGCCATGGTGGCACAGCAGTTAGAATGCAATACTGCAGGCCACTTCTACTGACTGCCTACTGCCAGCCATTTGGCTGTTTGAATCTCACCAGGCTCAAAGTTGACTCAGCCTTTCATCCTTTCGAGGTCGGTAAAATGAGGATCCAGATTGTTTATTATTATAATATATATATTTTTATATATATATATATATATATATA